ATTAGGTACTCAAGGCACTGGAAATTATGTCTATTATTAGAGACAGGTAAATGAAGTACATGAGAAATATGAGACCCATTATGTAACACCTTTATAAAGGTTTACAAGGTGCTGCGGCGCATTAAGCAGCCACTGCCAGAAACACAGGGGCAAACCCCTTCTCTAAGCGATAATTGTTACTGGGTTCTTTAACATGCATTACACAACACACGGGACCTACGGCTTTACGACCCATCCGAAGACGAAGCAATAATGGTAAAGTGCCTTGCTCAAGAGCACAAGCACCATGTTTCCACGGTCAGGATTCGAACCCATGTACCACGGCACACGAGTTGAACACTGTAACCATTGGATCACAGCACCCCACAATAGTATCTTCTAATTAATCCAAACTTATTTCGGCATACGGTACTTCCGGCATTTGCAAGATATTTAAAGACACCGTCTGTGCGTATTATTGCCAAACTTTGGGAGTAGTGTTGGATCAGATTTCGTGGTGATTTTACGGGATTAGATTTAAGTAAGTTGACATGAGCAATGATTCATTGCTCCGTGCTACTGTGCCCAATTATGAGAGTAAAGATGCCTATATAATGACGGGCAGACAGCGTTCAATGCGATATCATTACTTCACTTCCCTCAGGTTATAGAGACACAAGAAACAGAAAGGGATTGGTCAATAACAGTCCTGAAATCGCTCAGTGACTCTATCAATAGACCACATAACAACTTCCGTGGAAAATGCATTCATGGCCGATTCTATATCCTAGTGTCTGGTTTCGGCCCCTAGTCAAGATCGCTTCCATAGCTAGTCATTGTTTGGGAGCATGTCTCAAGTGCCAGTCTATGGTTTGTCCAGTGTGTCGTCTTCTCTATGGTTTATTCTTCTGATTTCTTCCTGTTTTTTTTTTTCTCTCCGCAGGGTTCTCACTCATCAAGGGGAGGTTAGGAGGGGACAGTTTATCTAGATCAGCATGGGTTTCAATCGTGACTGTTGATTTGTACACGTCACACGGAGCAGCCCGCTCTGTCAAACTGAAATGAAACATTTACTGGCGGTTTGCCAAAATCCTGGTATCTTCTTAACCTATAACTAATTACCACATTTGAAAACAAACTGTCACTTATCTCATCAACATGAGTACAAAAAAAAACATTCTCAAAACATCGATGCTCCAGATCACACAAAAGTTTTGACAAAAGTCTTCTTGACAATGCCCAAAGTGAGCCCTCTGTACACGGGACAAGCAACATGCAAAGGTAGTGTCCATAACGTAGCACGTATATTGCATCCAACTTCAGCCAGTACAAGTAGTCCAAATAGTATTTTCAATTGGGCATGTTAGGCATTTTAGGAGGGCAAACTGCTCAGTTAAAGATTCATTTTGCTCTAACTAAAGTCCTGCCAAATGGCTCAAATTCTTGCCACACCAGCCTGGACTCCGTGGGCGCGTGCGTGATCCTTCACTAAGCCCTGGCCATGACGAACACGTAAACAACGCTGACCGGCTATTCAGAGCGTACTGCGCGCGTATTTCAAAGACTGCACGCCCTATATGCGCTTCCACCCTATGCAAGCCACATCACGCACGAACAATTTTTTGAAAACTGAGCGATGCCTGTACGATATAGATTATGGTAGCCTCGTTTTTTCGCAAACCTGTATCTTCAGTTGTAAAGGGATAAAAGAGAGATGTACATTGGATACAAATCTTTGCTAAATAACGCAATGTTTAAATGCACTGATTCTTCAAAAAACAACTTACAACATTATAAGCACTTTGTCGCTCTTTAGATACATCGACTGTGGACCTAATTTAAATGTGCCGCTATTTGACACATTTAAATTAGACAATTCAAGGGATTAAGATCGCGCAGGGCATGATGGGAAACAACATGGCGCAGCAAGATCGTACCCATGGAAACGAGGTTGTAGCCACACCGCTCCAATGTTTACCACCTTCCTCCTTTTTGACATCACTCATGTAACATTTCAGTTGACAAAGACAAAGACTGTATGTATACAACGTTGTTGATTCACAATTGCTGAAATACTTCAAGACACAAAGTTTGGAGCACAACAATTCCACTAGCCAGTTCCTCGGTTACCAAGAGGGAGCAAGAACTCTTGAACTTGATACATTATAGCCAGTAGGAGGGAAGATCATTGCCGTAGCTTTGCGAACGAAATTCAGAGTAACCCTCGCACTGAGTCTTTCCCTCCTTTCAGGTTTGAAAGTCATGGTAGAAATTTACGGAATGAAAACTAATCGTTTCAAAAATACCCCATCCCTTGCTACCGGTACATCAGTCTTTTACATTCTCAGTAACCCTGGCCAAGTCGACCTGCATAGTGTGTTTTGTAGTGGTTTTATTGGGCCTTTCTCTGGTCACTGTGTGACATAAAATTGGGCTTGTCTGGTTTTTGAAGCTTTACCCCTTGTTAACTACATCTGACATATTACTTTCACTGATTCATCAGGTTAGTACTTTTTCACTCCCCACCTCAGAGTATAGTTTCTACTTTCACAAATTGTGTCAAAATATTAGGAAGGGTCATCAAAGTTTGGTCACGTGTGTAACATCAGACGTAAAATTGTTATCGGGCCATATCGGATATTAACACTTTTCTCCAAAGTTCTAAGGACACACACATCCATACTTATTTTGGAGTAAGACTAGTCTTTTGTGATTTACAGAATGCGTAAACAATGTACACCCTCTGCTTTAGTTTTACAAAAAGGGAATTGATCTGTGGTAACGTGACATTTTGATCGGTCACGTGTGTGACATTTTGTTCGGTCACGTGTGTGACATTTTGTAATCAAAATGATGCTAATTTATGCACGGAAAGACCAAGCTATGAAAAATCTTAAGAAATTTGCATCCTTAATTACTACCGGTAGCAACACATTAGTGAACAATTTAATCATGTGTAATATTTCACATAAAGAACTTACTTCTTTTTCATAAATTAATTTAGTTTCAATTTCCGAAGAATCGCCCTCTTGTGTAAATGGTACAGGCCAGATCTTCCCTTGTCATTTTTACTGTCATGTTTACTTTATTTAAATTTTAATTTTAATGATGGCGTTAATATAATATATATTTGTCTATTTTTAAATTTATAACTTTTGTTACCTTTGTAACAATGCAAGACATTGGATTTTTTTTAATAAACCAGATAATAAATATAATAAAAAACATGCTGTGTTCACTCATCCTGTGACATGAATTTCATGAAGCACCCTCTGTGTTTTTAAAAGAGTGCCAAGAATTTACAATTATGGCTTTTGCCTGCTTGTGCCGCCCTACCGGAGATCACTGGAATATATATTGAGATTCTGAGAGTGTCCGACCAATAAAACGTGATATAAAGACCTAGTTTTAGTTTATTTTCAACAATTTATCTTGTAAGCCCAAGATCTGGTAGCTTTATGGGAGTCATTGCCTGAGTCAAATTTCACCTTCAGCCCATGATCCGCAACAGAAATCTCAAGTCCATTCAACAGAATCCCAGGTTTTTTTTCTATTTTCTATGCCACATTGTTCATTTGAAGCTCTTCACTTACATTAATTTTCATCTTATAGACAAATCCGGTGGCAGCCATTTTCTGTGGTGGTGAAAGGCTCGCGCGAGTTGCGCTCAGGTAGTACGCACGCACTCCTGGCTCCTTCGACCAATAGGAATACCAAAATGCGCGTGCGCCTCATCTTTAAGAATGCGTGCAACATGCGCGCGAGCGTGACACCACCGCAGTAAAAGCTTCTAATTCTGGTCCTCAGATTCCACTATACCAAAAGACAAATTCCCATTCCAAAAAGAACTTCTAAGCTAATCAAAGAAGAGAGACTTCTGCTACAGGTGGAACAATCAATTATGACATAACAGGTATACAAATATTGCAGAGACAGGATAAATGGAGCTGAGTTAGAATGAAGCAAGGAGTCGATTGATTCAGGAGTCAGGAATCTCATTCGACACATGACACCTCAAAGTATTCTCCTGCTGGGGTCAACAAAACTGGCAAAATTTTCTTTCGTTTGCACTACCCATGATTCTGTGGTAAAGTTCAAGCTGACCTCTACTCACTCAATCTCCCAATGCAGACCTGGCGTGCGCTCATCCTAAAGAGTAGACTCTAGCAGCTAATGTCACAAAACTTTACTTAATGGTCTAACTTAACTCACATCACGTTTTATTGTGCAACTTGTGCAACATTCCAAATTGCAAAACATGCAACAAGGTGGCATCTCCTAAAATGGCGTGTGACGTCATGTACGTGAAACGTGAGTTTTCAATGTCAAAAGGTCGTTTCTCGCTTAAAATAACCCCGATGTACACACAAAGTCAACGGACGCACCATACCCGAGATACCACATTGTTGCACGGAAGCGTATTTGCTTGAGATACAACTTCGTTGCTGAATCGAGTTCTGGCTGACGCAACGATTTTAGTTAAGACACATTTCATGACAGTTTCACGGTGCGTAAGTCCACAACTTGCACACACAATATGGCGTGACTTATGCAGTCATTAAAGGTGGCATACATATGGCACAATTTGGAAATGGATAACTTTACTAACTAATCGTGATTATCATTTGGTCTGTTATTGCCCAACATATTTATACAAAAAAACCCAGCTTTGTTTGTAAGATAAGTGAAACGCCATGTCATTTACCATGACAGACCTGGAAGAGTTGCCACCTGATTCCGAAGTAAGTCAGAAAAAACAATTTTTGAATGATAAGCGGAGGTGATTTGACGACTGTTTCGACTTATATGAAAACAAACCAACAAATAAACACACACAAAAAGTCGACATAAAAGCTATGGTTATGCTTGTCCAAAAAGTTTGAACTACTCGGACAAGTTTTGTGAAATCTATCATAGGTTTACTGCCAAACTGTGCAACAAATTTGTTGCTTAAATGTTCCCCATGGCATAAGTTACGCGCCGTTTTGAGAAATCAACTGCTGCTTGGACACTCCTTGTGAAAACTACTAAAACATCACTTACCTCGGGTTGCCACGGAGAGCCGCGTGGTGCAAGGCGTTGAAACCATTGTTGTTAGTCACACAGATGTCAGCGTTGTTCTCCAGCAGTAGCGACAGGATGTCATCACGCTTCTTGCTGATCGCGTCGTGCAATGCAGTGTCTCCTTCCGAATCCTGCACAGAAGACAAAAATTATCCTTACTGAAGATGAACACACACAAAAGGTCACGCAGTCATACTTTACATAACTCTCGAGGACAAGGCATTGTAGTGCACGTATACACATTCATACACATTGTTTCGTAGTTGTGGGGACTACACACGAGTTGTCCCATGGTACTATGGAGACCAAAGACGCTGTGTGGACAGCAGAAAGTCCCCATAACTCAGTCCTAATTTGCCTAACAATAACAAACTTCCCCATAACATGGTGATGGCCTGCCCACACATACTTGTTTCGTAGTTGTGGGGACTACACACGAGTTGTCCCATGGTACTATGGGGACTGAAGACTATCCATTTCTTATTAAAATCAAATTGCGGAAAAAAAGTGCGAGGAGAAGCAGGTTTATTCACTTATAAGTGGACATTGTAACTAACATTAAGTGGACGCCGTAACTAACGTAAAACTTGATTGAATTTTCTCCAAAACTGCAGGCAGCTTGATAAAATCAATAACATTACTTGACAAGAACAGTTAATTTAGATGTTTCTATTGCCAAATGCTTGTGCTATATTTTACTCTTTTAAACACTACAGCACACCAGTTCAACGTTACTTGCGGCATCCACTTAACGTGAGTTACGGTTCAAAAATACCATTATAATCTGCCGCATAGTGAAAAATATTTGGTCTATTATCTTTTCAATGTTGATTTCCACTTCAAGGGGTGTTTTTCACAACAATTTAAGAGAAAACTAACAGCACGTAGCTTTCATCTTGCTTCAGATCTCTTATGTCCCACATTTGGTTGCCAGTATTGTGTCCTTACACAAAAGAGGCAAAACATCTCAAGAAACAGGGCGGACAAGCAGCAAGCCACGGTGTAAGGTCCACAATGTTCAACCATGGAATAGCCACCAGAAGCTTGTAACTTTAGGAAGGTTTACAAATGTATAGGCCTACATGTATGTCCACTGCGCAAACTTGATGATTCTTAGGACTCCAAACAGAAACAGTAGAGTGCTCTTTGGACTACTGACTAGAGCTCCAATGTGCGGAACAAACCCCATACAGGCACTGGTTTGCAACTGAATGGCCCAGAATACACATTTAACAATTGTTAACCGCTGGGATGAAGGATGGCATTTTTTCAACTTGAGGGGCACCTGAGGCGAAGCTGAGGTGCTATGCGCACAAAGGGGGTTACATGTCCCACATCACAGAGTCAACAACTGTTTTGTTATATCGTACCAACTAGTCAAAAATATAAAGGTTTTAAACTCAATATTAAAGAACAACTGATCTGCCGATCGCATGGGTCGCCTTTTTCCGCGGTCGATATTAAAAAAATTCTGTGCATTTTTAACAATGACTTCAAATGACCCCCAGATGACCTTTGACCTGACATTTCGGAAGACTTGTGATGAACCCGACCCAAGGATCACTCCATCCAAGTTTCATTAAAATCCATCAAATTCTGTAGACAAAGATACATTTGAAGCATATTTGAACAATGACCGCTGATGACCCCTAGATGACCTTTGACCTCAGTAATCCGATGAAGAATTGTGTCTTCCAACCCAAGGGTCACTGCATCCAAGTTTCATCAAAATCCATGAAAACATGTAGAAGTTATACATTTTTTTTTCAAAATGTTAACATACATATGGGTGTATGGGAGTACGGACATGCCAGCGGATGGGAGTTCTGGGGTAGGAGCATTGTTGTCCTTTTATCCCTTTTGTAAAGATTTCACTTTGTGGGGTACCGTTACCTTTGTTAGAGTACCCCACAAGTAGCTCTAGTGTGTACGGTCATGCGGGTCTAAGGTCATATGGTCATACAGAATTTAGGACTGTAAGCGTCTCCCAAAACTTTGTTTAGGCGACACAAAAATGCATAGCACAAATCGACGGCGCTACACACCACTGACAGGATACTTATGCACGAAGTTTGTAGCATGATCACAGTGGCAGGGCCCTCAACTTTTTAAATTTGATTTCAACCGACCTGGCATTACAATTAATATTTGCTCAAGATGAATGGCACATGTGAAGTTGAAGGTAACACAATCTTTGAGCAGATTCAATCACGGACCATCGGCCGACTAGTTGTTGATTGGTGACATGCATGTAACTTAAACCTGCACGGTAATAGCTTCAAGTTCAAACATCACTAGTTGAAGAGTGGCAGAACAGCTTTAGGAACTTCACGATCCTGGCGCCCTGTCAAAACTACGACATGCAAAGCTATTGGTGACCAGCTATGGCACCAGCTATGGTGACCAGCTCGGCAGACTGGTCCCGAACAGTTGACTAGACTTGTCCAACTACATGAATGGCTGACTAGCTGGCAGACTGGTATGACTCTTGACTCGGACTCGAGTCCCATTTTCCGTGACTCGGACTCCAGTCACGATGACAGATGACTCAGACTCGGACTCAGACTCGACCCTGCGGACTCAGACTTGGACTCGACCTGCCAGACTCGGGACTCGACCAAAATTACCACAAATCACTATTTTTTTTCAACAATATGATTACAAATTATTTTGAAGATGAACCTCTCCTGAGCAAGCGATACAGTCAGTGCGGTGCAGAAGAAACGCAGCTAAGTACTGTACATACACAGTGCACAAATTACCACAAATCACTCAGACTCGACCTTTCTGACTGGTGACTCGGACTCAACCTGCATGACTCGGGACTCGGGAGAGGTGACTTGGACTCGGACCAGGACTCAATGTTTGGTGACTCGAATACAAGTCTGCAGCTGGGGTTCAAGCGAAGCTAGTCAAACCATGGTAACCTATACTTCTCGCTCGACGATTTTTCCTTTTTAGGAAACCCTGGTTTTGTCCCCGGTAAGGCTTCACTGTGTTTGCAGAATCATTTGGAAACTTTTAAGTGGCAATACTCCAAATGTTGACCTCATTTCATGTACATGTATAATCCTGTATCAAACCATGCAATATCGAGAAAGAGTCCACAACGTCATTGAGCATAAAAACGTCCTAAAGAGGCAGAGACGAAATTGGTCCCATAACATTACAAAAAAAAGCAGCAATATAAGAACAAATGATCTTATTTCCTCAGTCAACAGAGGGCGCTTTGATCCAAATGCCTTGATGACACTAAGGCCCGCTTCACACGTCAAACTTCTGTTGTGTCTAATTCAAAAATGGCCTAACATTTGAATTAGACACGGCAGAAAGCAACAGCCGGCTTCCTGCCAAAACTTCGACAGGTCTTGCCGCTCTGAGCGTCAGAAGAGCGACATGGCTTCAAACGGCGAATTTATGCCGCGTCTAATTCAATTGGCACGTCCCAAATCAGAATCGCAGTGGTACCGTTTTAAAATGTGCATGCGCCTGCCAGCTGTGTATGTTTCAGCGTTAAACAAAATGGCGGCGCCCAAGGGCATGACTCAAAGGTTGTCCTGGAAACCCAAAACGTCTTTTTGAATCTCTTCTCCGAAATTGTATTAGGAATCATATCAAGCCAACCGGTTTTCTTCACTGAACACCGACAGGGACGGGAAGTTGTGACACTTTCTCGAGAAAGGAGCAGCAGGAATAATTAACAATGAAAACTCTCCTTTTTAAAGTCACCTCCAATAAAATTTACTGTTGAAGAGCCGCTCTTTCTCGCAAAAAGAATTTGTCGCATTATGTCTCCTGTCTTGGTCCGCCATCTTGAACGACCGAATTATGTTCAACAGAAAATCGACGTTTAAAGCAACTGCTGAGCTTCTACTGCATTTTTGCCTACTACAATGAATAAATAAGATGTTTGAAGCAGGTTGGAGAAGTCAGCAATTTCCTCAAACTCAAAATGCATTATTAGGAAATACATTTTGGGAAAAGAGTTATCCCAATGAAAGTGCATGCCAAATGACAGATGGTCCCATACAGAGACCGACTGCTGGACAAAAACTCTGACGAAGACTTTCGTTCCAAAGTTGAACATGGAAGTGATTCCCAACGAAAGTACAAATGAAAATCTAAGTCTTGAAACATCCTCTCAAGAAAGTAAACATCCGGAGAGGATCTGGCTTCATCTGAAGAAAGAAAAATCAAAGAACAGCTGTCAGCACAATAACACAAGGTTTTCAGCTTATTTCTTTGGATGGACAAACCAGAAAAAGCCTGTCGATTAAGATCCGAGCGTAATCACAAATTCCTGTTGATGATGCAAGACGATGTGATATTCATGGACTAATAAGAGTGATATGAAAATAAGCACAAGCCAAAAGAAATTATCCAATGATGATGTTACCAAACACAGAGCTAATTGGTCTTCAATTTGAAGTTTAAGAATCAAATTACAAACGACAGCTGGCGACGAGGAACGCAGGTTAAGATCATACCTTTCCGCCTACCAAGTCAATCAAACTCCGCCCCTACCCATCTCCCCCTCCCCCCCCCCCCATGACTCCTTGGCCCCAGACCAACCTGGCTACGTGCCTGACGTCAACATCACACCGCCTGCGCCGGTATCCTGACCTTTTCCCAATCCACCTGAGAACTATTCCTGTCTAGGCAAGTCTAGAGGCCCACGGCGAGAAATATCGGCAGGAGACGAGACCGAATTAAAACCCCCGAGGAACACATGACGGGGGCGCTGCAAGGTGAAGCGCGATGTGTTCCGGGCTAAGCAGGAATCCAGGCTCAGCCGTATTAGGTGCAACTTTAACCTGTGAAGCAAGGGCCACTTTTTACAGTTCGGTAAACACAAACAAATTGTGCTTAGACAAAAATAGGCCCGCAGACAAAAATTAAGATGTGTTCATTACTTTTCTGCGGATCTCTTCTAAATCTTACGATAACTGTTTTTTTTTTGTACTGCTGGTCGATGCAGTAACATCACATTCTGGGTAAACTTCATAGGTGGAGGCAGACGTTTACCTGGCAACAACAAACAAACAAACAAACAAACAAGAAACAAAAGAGCCAACTTTCAACTGAGTTCCTTGTCCGATTTTGGATGTTTAAAAGTATGTTACTTCTTAAA